CTTTATTAAGCAAAATTAGTTACTTTGTATTTAATACAAAACAAGATGTTAGCAATAGTTTATTACTCTCTAAGGCGTCGTCTACAATACACGGAATAAGAAGTAAGAGTAAGAAATTGACCAATCACAGTCGATTATTCTTCTCACATTTGACGGTGATTGGTCAATTTCTTACTCTTACTTCTTACTCCATGTATTGTAGACGGGCCTTAAATCTGAACCAGTGGATAATCACTGATATCAGTGCCAAGTATGCCATTGGTAATCAGTGGGTGAAATGTGAAATTCCTAACCTAGCTAACCTTTATTGTGTAGGCAAATATTTCCATTTTTTGTTTGTTTCTTATTGCATAAATAACAATACCTCACCATTTTTTAATTGAAAGGCTGACCTGACAATACTTATAACTGACTGTAATAACCTGCAATATATCACACGTGACACTTATCGCGCGACATTGACGCCTGCGCGTTACAACAGACTGAACATGATAAGGATAGAATTAGCATTGGCGGCACCGTAGTGTTTCGACCGCAAACCACGCCCCATTAGCCATATAGTAGTATTACATATATGTTTAAGGGTCTCTAGACCGGCCTACACGCGCTGTACCACGGATCACGCCATCGGAGAGCTGTTGCTGGGACTCACGAGGCAATCACCGTATGGTAAGTGCAATTTATGTCTCACTTCACGGTAACGAAGCTCTAAGTGGATGTTGCATGTGCCCTGTACATCCATTTTCGCGCCTATCCGCCGCCGGCCGCCTCATTGATATAGACCCTTACGACGCGTGAGTAACTAGCGCCTGCTGGGGTGCGTTCAGGAATTACGCCTAGATAACTCTGGAGTGCTCTAGTGTGCGCCTTGGACGTTCAGAAACTTCAGGTATAATTTACCCAAAGCGTTCAGAAACATTTTGGGTCACTCCGAGATCACTCTATCGTCAACCTACTTTTGAATTGGGTAAAAATCGCCCCGCATGCGCATTGCAAAATCACGTGCCTAATAGGCTAAAGACTGGTTAAGTTCTACAATTAAAAAGGTTTACTTCTTTTTGAAGAAAAAAAATGGAAAATTTAATGATAAATAAAACTGATTTTGAAGTTGTGCGACTAGAAAATCTTTATTACAATAGGCAATTAAGGTGCCGTCAGATGCAGCGTAACTTGTGTAAGCGTAACTTGCGCCGACTAATCATATCATTTCACTTGAACATCAGTTTCTGTCTAGTCACTTTATGCTTTTTACGCTATTTTGTTGTTACGCCGAAACATGATAGAACCATGCGTCGAATCTAATTTCTGGCTCATTTTAGCTTATTCTGTCTGAAAAAATGCACGAGGGTTTCGATGTTGCAACAGTACAATTATAGAAGTCGTGCGCCCCTTTGCATCGCGTGAAAAGTCGAAACCTATGTGGAACAGTACAATTATAGACCTCATTTTGCCTCTGTGACAGATTTCCTAACCTCAATAGTCATCAACTTTAACACTTAATATCTCAGATCACAAGGCAGAACGACGTTTTTTTTGTCAGATTCTTTCGTTTCATGCAAAAACGCGTCGAATAAGCCTAAGAGTGGTTTCACAAAATGTTCCGATTTTAATAATTTATTCGATCATCCGCTCATATATACGCGATGGAAAGGTACCGGTTCCCCATGAGGCGTACTTTTCGAGATGCGTAGGTAACAAAAACCAATCGTAAATTCATTTAGCATTTCTGTTAGAGTGTACAACAGAAATTCTAATCAGCAATTGGTTGCATTAATTCCGCATTTCTCTAATCTTCCGCGAAATACGCTCAATGTGAATGCGGGCTTTCAGAATGGCGTATTCTAGTAAATTACTAGAATACGCAGGTTACGTTTACGCAGGTTACGCTGCATGTGACGGCACCCTTAACCTTTTATAATCTTCTCATTTCTAACAGACAGGGACACCTCAATCGCATCACCCAAGGCGTTCAGAACTTCTTTGGCTCGATCACTCAGTTCCGAAGAACCACTCAACCGAGGTGGACGTGTTCCCTCTCGTCTTGGGTGTTGCGTCACCTCGACTATATTTTTGAAAAGCGTTGCCGGCTTGGACTGTGCCGTTATATTCAATTTCGATAGTCCCTTTATCCGTCTTGGCGTGCGGCCGTGCGGCGTGGAAGCGTCGTAGCCGCAGACGTCCAGTGTTTGAAGGGGCGCCCCAACATTTTGATTGCATCATCCTTTATTTTACCTGCCCGGTTCGAGGTGGCCGGTGCATAGCACTCCTATTCACGATTAGCTTCAATTTACGCAGACCTCAATGGCCTAGTCACAACCTTGGTTGCCTGGCCAAAATCAGAAGAAGAAGAAGAAGGCTCGATCACTCTAGGATGCACTCAGAGTTTACCTTACTGTACCAATACCTTGAATTCCTGAACGCACCCCTGCGTATCACCGTTCCGATTTTAAGTAGTCTGGCTCCCCATGGGGCATATTTTTCGGAAAAGGAAATTTTTAGTAAACTGTCGGTCGCTGGCGATCACTAGCAATTAGGTTAAGAGTACTGAAAAAGTAGAGAATGTCATCTGTAAGTATTGTAATTATATGTTTGCTAAGTTATTTTATATTAGATTATGGTGATTTCTTTGTATTTATTTTAAGCTTGTTGCCCTTTATTTTATTATTTTGATTAATTAATTTAATATCATTAATTTATTATTAGAAAGTAAAATGTGGCTACTGTGGCTGGATACTGAAAATGGATATTTTTCAACATTCCTGTTTCGGTACTTATGATGAAGCACACAATGTTTTAAGCATAAATGAGATAGGAAAAGTTATGTCATGACAAGTATAACAAATTTCATATAGTATTTTTAAAATGTAAACTAAACAGTATATATGAAATTTTTGTTACTATCAATAATGAGTTTCCATTCTTATTGTTTAGATAGAAATTTACAAGAAAATTTGATGGAGACATCCGCTTGTGGAAGCTCACAAGATTAAACAGTGGATGAAAATGTTTCAGAAGCACAAGTATTGGATGAGGAGCTGGTAAGCTTAGTTCAACAACGACCGGCCTTGTATGATTATCGAATACCAATTCAAGAAAGAACCAAATTAAAGAAAAAAGACCTATGGCAGGAAGTCAGCAATTGTGTAGGAGGTAAATTGTATAGGAGGTTCAACATTCATCGCACATTAATCTTACAAGCACTTTTTTCAAAATTAATATTTTAGGAGCATATTCATCTGCTTACGCAGAAAAAAGATGGCAATATTTAAGAGATTGCTATACAAAAGCTAGGAGGAATTTTAAGAAAATACAAAGTATTGAAAAAAGGAGTGGTGCCGCTGGTACGTCCATAAACGAAAGAAATAAACCATCCTTCCGCTTTTACGATCAATGAGTTTTCTTAATGATACATTAGAATATAAAGAGTAAGTTATATTGAATGTGTTAAATAACATTTTGAAATAATAACTGAATTTATTTTCTATTTTTTTCTGTTTCAGAACATGCACATCTATAAGAATACCAAATAGAAAAGAAACAGATCAAGTAACAAATAATTTTCCTATTTCTTCACCTTCCCCTTCAGATTTATTTTGTAATGATAATAATTTAGATTTAGAAAATAGGTCACCTTTAACGCCATCACCTGTCTCTGAATTTTCTGCAGCGCCTTCATCTTCACGAAGTTCGTATATTTGAAATAGAAATATATGTATATTAATATGAGAAAATGTTACAGTATTTAATAATTTAATATACTATTTGTGGTTTCAGAAAGACGACATTTAAATAATATTAACGATTTAGATAGAGCTTTCTTAAGTGCCTTAAACACGAATATTCAACCCAGCCCTATTGATGGGTTTATGTTACGATTGGCAGAAGGGATGCGTCGACTACCCTACAAAGAAAGGTCTAAGTTAGAGTTGGAGTTTTTAATGAAATTACATGAAACGGAGGAAAGGCTGGGACTATTGAATAATTGAAGATAGCCCAAAGCTATCATTAAAATGAAAAGTCTAGCCATGTTCAAAAATGTAAGCAGATCTTCAAAAATGTAAACCTTTAACAATTGAAATAATTATGTAACAATATATATTATTATGAAAAGTAACTGATATATTATTCAAAGTCTCAGTTCAAAGTAAACATACATAAAGCGTATTCTCAAAAATGTAAACCTTTAAAAATTAAACTTTTATCTGATAATATATTGTTTCACAATATACATACTCAAAAATGTAACCTTTAAAAATTTAAATGATTATCTGATAATATATTACCATAACAAGTATTTGATATATTATCAAAAGTGCCAGTTCAAAGTGAACATACATATAGAGTGTATCCTGAAAAATGTAAACCTTTAAAAATTTAAATGATTATCTGATGATATATTACCATAACAAGTAACTGATATGTTATTTAAAATACCAGTTCAAAGTTAACACTTTCAAAAATTCAAATGATTATCTGATAATATATTACCATGACAAACAACTGATATATTAATAAAGGTGCCAGTTCAAAGTGAACATACATAAATAAAGTGTATATTATCTAAATTTATACAATATATTATCATGAAAAGTAACTCATATGTTATTGAAGGTACGAGTTCAAAACGAACATACATACCTACAAGTAAAACAGACTATAATTTCATTCTAGAAAATAAGTGCGATATGTTATTCTTAGTGCACAAGATATAAAAGTCGTTTATTGAGATTTGACTTAAAATTTATACTAGCCCGTACAATGAAAAATAATTGCTTGTAATTCCAGAGTACCAATTTGTTAATGACTCGGAAAAAGAACATGGCGGCCTGCTTTCAAAAAACTTT